GGTGGATGATTTGGGTGCTAATTAAAATGACAGGAAGTAAACAGCTTCAGAAACTCCCAGCATGTGCCCCTAAGCCCACTAGGCCTGCACACTCCATCTCTCTCCCAGCTTGGCGCAGTGGGCCTGTCTCCATGGCAACCAAGCTGAGCCGCAGAGATCAAAGCAGAAGATGGGTTAGCTCCAAACTCCCAACCAGGGGTGGTAACGAGATTTCTGGAAAGAGCATGGAGGAAAGAGGCCCCGTCTTCCTCCTTTACCATCAGTTTTTCCTCTCTTTGGCTGTGAGAATACCTACCTGGGGCTGAAGTAGAGCTGATGTGGCAGGAGGAACTGTCTCTGGCCTGGGACTAGGGGTTCTGCTGTGCAACCCTTCATGAATCACTTAACATCTCTGAGCCATCGGGCTGGGATGTAGCTCAGTGGCAAAGCGCTTGCCTAGCAAGTGCAACGTCCTGGGTTCGATCCCCAGTACCAAAAAAGAAAAGACAAAAAAATACAGTTAAAAAAAAAACCCAAACAACAACAACAACAAAAAAAACATCTCTGAGCCATCAATTTTATGACCTGAGAAACAGGAACGATAGTAGTAAGGTTCTCTTGGGGTTACTGTAAAGAGAAAACAAACCAGTAAGTGGAAAGTATTTAGCACAATACCTCCCACAGGATACTTGTAAAGAGATTAGCTATTGTTAGCAGTGCTTTTACTATCTACAAGGTGCTGGGTGCGTGCGCATACGCGTGTGCGTACACACACACACACACACACACACACACACACACACACACACACACACACGAGGTATCTCTGTCTTTAAGGACTTGGCCATGTAAATGAGGCAGAAGGAACCAGAAGCAATGCCATCACTGGGTGTCACCAGAGTGACAAGACTTCCCCAAGGCCCAGTCAGCCTGCAGGATGACCAGTTGTGGGTGGGGTGAGGGAAAGATGCTGGATACTGATACATTGTGGACAGAGAAGAATCTAGAAGGAGTCTTGCAAGGATCTGGCAGGCTGAACCATCTGCAGAGTGGCTGCGGGGCTAGGCGGCCAGGCTTGGATGGATCTTGGGCTTGAGCGCTGGCCCAGTAGCCTCACTCAGGACTGGCCACTTGGAAGCTGTGAGAAGCTTGGTCAGAGCTCACCCACGGGAGTTCAGTGGCATCAGGTAGCACATGGCATGGAGAGGTTAAAAAAGCTAAGTGCTTGGGGTGGGGTGGGGAAGTGTCTTGTCTGAGTGCACATAAGGACAGGTTAGCGCAGACTCAGTCTCCTCGGCCTCTTGTCCCTACACCACTCCCCTTTTGGGGCTAGATGATGTTTCTGTATAAAGCAAAGAGACCCTAACATGTATAAGGTGGGATGGAGGACAAGAAGGCCTGGCTCAGATCTTCATCTGTCTTGTGACCCTTTAGTAGTTGCTTTGCCTCTCTGTGCTGCAGTTTTCTGAAAAAACATTTAAGATTTTGATTAAAAAAATACTTCTAGAAGACTTACTTTAAAAACATTGAGAATTGAGTGTGGTCGTGCATACCTGTAATCCCAGCACTCGGGATGATGAGAGAAGAGGATCCAGAGTTCAAGGCCAACGTTGGCTACATAGCAAGATCCAGTTTACAAAAAAAAAAAAGGAAGAGAGATTTAATACAAACACAGCGCATTCATAAACTTAGAAGATTTTTCTCATGTATTTGTTGTGGTTCTCTGTTAGCTTAGAACTCTGGGTCCTTGGGCTGGGAAGGTGGCTCAGTGGTAGAGCGCTTGCCTTGCATGCCTGAGGCCCTAGGTTCGATTCCTCAGCACCACATAAGCAAAAAGAAAAAAGCTGGAAGTGGCACTGTGGCTCAAGTGGTAGAGCGCTAGCCTTGAGCTGAAGAGCTGAGGAACAGCGCCCAGGCCCAGAGTTCAGGCCCCATGACCGGACCCAAAAAAAAAACAAAAAACAACTCTGCGTCCTGACCCATTTCCCCTCTGGCCTGGTTGTGGGTTCAGAACTCTGGTGAAGGGCCCCCAAATATCCATCTATCGGGTGAGGCTGGGTCACAGCAGAGCCAGGGTAAAAGCAGCCAGGCCTCTGGTTCTGAGAAGACCCCCATGTCCTTGTTGGGCCATTTTTTCCCAACTGTTAATAAACCCACTTGGGTGCCATAAATAGAGACCGCCGAAGGAAAGGGCATCATTCTTACTTTCTAACAGACAAGTTTTCCAGCTTATATATGATGCCGCCTCATCTGACCTCAAAGGGCCCTAATTGCGTCCCTAGCTTCAGCCCAGATGAGCCATTCTCATGTGGCACAGAAGATGCCCTCATCATCCTCCCCTCCCCACCACTGGTCTCTGCTCTCCCTATAATGGTCTCTCTCCCCGCTTTTCCAGGACTTCCCATCTTTCATCTTTCTCCTCCATTTTCTCCATCTGACTCTGGTATCTTGCAGCCATACAGCTTTGATTCATGAAGGGCTTCACTGAGCAGTCAAAAGGACGGGGGCTGTGCACACACTGGCCAGGAAAGCCAGCATCCTGGGCAACTCCAGTGCCTCTCCTCATCTGTCTGGCTGCTTCCACTGTCCTGAGAGGAGTGCCCTCCATCCCATCACCACAGGAGGCTGCAGTGATGGCAGAGGACACTCCTTCAAGCATCCCTGTTCCCACCTACTGGGCCTGGCAGCAGTTGGGTGGAGACACAGAGCCTGCCTCTCTCAGGCTGGGAGGAGGTTTCACCTGCTGAGAGCTAGGGATGTGCCTGGGCTTCTGGGTTCTTAGAAGTCCTGTCCCTCCACCCTCCACACTGCCCCTCGGTCTCCCTCCCCCACCAGGTTCCCCTGAATTTCTAATCAGAAGTCTTTGGTCTTGACCTTTGAGAGCCTGGTTTGTGCAGAGTCCTGGGGAGGCTACAGGAAGAAGCCACTAGGTCAGGCTGGAGGGTGGGGGTAAGCAGACTTCAAGGCCCTCAGAAGGCACCCTAGGGCCAAAGGTGCCTGGAGGAGGGCCATAGGGCCCTCCCCTTCCCCATTCCTTCTGGGACAGGTGGGCTATGAGCCACACACCTAGGTAGCCAAGAGCAGCTGATCCACATCTGTCTCAGTACCCAGCCATTTCTGTCTTCTTTGGAACTAGTGTCTTTTTTTTGGTCCGGTTGTGGGGTCTGAACTCTGGGCCTGGGCTCTGTCCCTCAGCTCTTCAGCTCAAGGCTAGTGCTCTACCACTTGAGCCACAGTGCTATTTCCGGCTTTTTTCTTTTTTCTTACTTATGTGGTGCTGAGGAATTGAACTCAGGGCCTCACGCATGCAAGGCAAGCGATTTACCACTGAGTCATCTTCCCAGCCCCCTACAATGTCTTTCTATGTAATCCTTGTCTTCCATCTCCCCCCTACTTTATAACCTCATCCCTTTCCCTTCTTAGGGAAGGATGGAGCAGATGGAGAGATCCCAGTGTGATAGAGGCCATCATCAACTTTTGCCCCCAGCCCTTCTACTCCTGACTTCAGTCACAAGGCCTCACCCAACCTCTGCTTTCCATCATCAGACATATGACCCCTCTATCCTTAAGTGCTCCTGGAGAAAAGACAAGATCTAGGTCTGGACTGGCTTCCTTTGGTCTCGACTAATGGGGGACATTGTGCCCAACATGGAGGTAGCTCAGGGATCCTGAGGGTTCAGCCTTCACCCTGAGCTTTGGGCTAGAGAGTACAGATTCTCCCAGAATGCCACTCTGTAACCTTCTTGCTTGCTCCTGGGTTCAAGTTCTTCAGGACACTTGGTTGTTTGGACCTGTTCTGGAAGTCAGGTATGGTCAGAGCCAAGGGGTAGGGAGAGGCCAAATGTGGGAGACAAATGATAGAGAGCCAGGAAAAAGGCTGAGAGAATGTGAGTGGTAGACAAAGCCAGCACAAGCTGGAGAGGAGATCCTGTCCAGGAGGGCTCTGTCTTCTCTTGCCCTCCCCCCTCCTCTCCCATCCCATCTCTGATTGCCCTCTCTCCCGGTGGAAGAGGCAGGAATTCTGAGCCAGTGTGAAAACTGGAGGCTGCTCACAGAAGTGGGTTTTCATACTTCATTTCTGGATTAAAAACCATCTGTTGTTGGTGAACTGTCCCCAACTGTCCCTGTACTCACGTGTTGTGTGTGCATATGTATACATACTCATGACATACTACATCCCCCTGGGCATGCATACATGTACTGGGCCTGCACCAATGCACACATGTGCACACAAGGTCTACTTGTGTGCACACCTGTATAGTTCAGCTGCCTCAGTGGAAACGGGAAGGTCTCTACTGGGCACCAGAGGCCTGGCTGTGTGACAGTTGGGCCTGAGCCCGGTTATTTTCTATCTCTGGGCTTTTTTTTTTTTTTTTTGGCTTTGCCTACATGAAAGGCAGGGGAAGGGGCTGGCCCAAGTGATCTTGGAGGGCCTTTTTGGATTCCTCTGTCTGAGAACTTGAGGGAAGCCATTGGTAGTGACATGGCTATCTACTTCACTCAGTCTACTAGCTGACTTCTGTAGAAAGAAAGGAAGTTTTGTCAAAAAAAATCAGTCCTGCAGCTTGAAGAGCGCCCTTCCTCTGCTCAGATGTCAGAAGGGGGCCTGATGAGGAAGGATCCCTGGTGGGAGAGAGGGCACCCCATTTCTGGGAACACCCAGGGCACTGGCGTGAGAATTACTATTCCCAGGTAGTAGGAGCCCTCTCACATCTGTTGGGTTGGGCTGGGCTGGGCTGGAGTGTGCTGTCTTCAAAGCTGTGGGCCCCCCCTACCATTCCCATGCTGGCCTTACCTTGTTCTCTGTGATGGGATGTAGAAATACACTGGCCTCCAGTTGGAGTCCCGAGGGATCAAGGGCAACAGCAATTAAAGGCCATTGCACATAGCACCCAGGGCTACCTGAGGCCAGGGAGGTTCTGGGATCTCATGGCCTAAGGGTGGGCTTCACACTGAAGTCCCCCCTCTCTGCTTTTCTCTCCTTGCTCATTTCCGGTGGCCTGCTGCTGTCCTGTCTCCAGGAGGTGGAGGTAAGCACTATATAGGCCTGTGGTCTATGGCCTCACTCTGATTTCTCTTCCCCTGCCATCCGGGGTGGGGAAAGACTGGAAAGGATTCTAGATGTGGGAGTTAGGAGATAGAGGTGTGGGGCAGGAAGCTGGTAGGTCTAAGTGGACAGAGGCAATTTGCATATGGAAGTAATAGCCTGGGCTTCTCCTGTCCTGGGCTCTACAGTGAGCCTTGGTTCTGGGATGTGACTCAGCCCTTCCCTTCTCCCTTGTTCCCCTCTGTCTGTGTCTAGGATGACTACATCAAGAGCTGGGAGGATAATCAGCAAGGAGATGAAGGTAGCATGTCTCTCTTCCCCCCACCCCTCATGTGGGAGGAGGAAACTAACACCAAGAAGACATGGGACCTGCAGTCACATCCTGACCATGGGCTTGTGTTTCCTGAGCATCCAGGCCCCATGGGAGTGGGAGATGGGACTTAGAGGCAGGAGCTCTGGTTACCAAGGGCTCCTGGAAGGAAAGGGTTCCTGAGTTCTCCTAGCTGATCAGTGTCCTGACTTGTGTTCCCAAAGCCCTGGACACCACCAAGGACCCCTGCCAGAAGGTGAAGTGCAGCCGCCACAAGGTGTGCATCGCCCAGGGCTACCAGCGGGCCATGTGCATCAGCCGGAAGAAGCTGGAGCACAGGTGAGGAGTATGGGAGGGAGAGTCCTGGCAGGGGTATGTGTGGCAGGGGTATGTATGCTCAGAGAACAAATGCTGTATTGACCTAATCTTACATGCTAGACAGCTACTACTGCAGAATATAGTATCCAATACAGAGGCTTAAAGCAACAGAGGACTTTATCTCTTGCAGTGTCTGAGGGGCAGAAGTCTAGGAGGGCTTCCTATTAGGTGGTTCTGGCTCAGGGTCTGTCATCATCTGAAGGCTTGACTGGGGCTAGAGGGTTCATGTCCAGGTCATTCTCATGGCTGTGGATTGGAGGCCTCAGTTCCTAGTTGCTGAACTCCTTAGAAAGGCTTAAGCTGAATGCTGGTGGCTCTTGCCTGTAATTCTAGCTACTCAGGAGGCTGAGATCTGAGGACTTCAGTTTAAAAACAGCCCAGACAAGGAAGTCCATGAGGCTTTTATCTCTAATTAACCCCCCAAAAGTTGGAAGTGCAGCTGTAGCTCAAGTAGTAGAATGCTAGCCTTAAGCAAAAAAAAAAGTGTTTAAGTCCTGGGTCTAGCACAAGGGGGTAGGTTTGGGGAGAGAGGAAGACTGGACTATCCTCACAATATGGCAGCTGGCTTTCAGTAAAGTGAGTCATTGCAGAGATAACAAAGAAGGAAGAAAGCCACATTTCTAGACAGCAACTACAAAATAGCTCCTTTCTATGCCTGTGTCTATATGTCTAAGGCAGATGAGTTATACCAGATAAGTTGAGATTTCTTCTAGTTCTGACACGCAGTGACTTCATTAAGGTTGTAGTTTCTGAGACTCACAAAGGAAGAAAAGGTTAAGGGCATTTGAGCAGGCCCTTGTGGTACCTGGCAGAACGCTAGTGGCTCACATCTGTAATCCTAGCTATTCAGAAAGCTGAGATCTGAGGACAGCAGTTCAAAGCCAGCCCAGGCAGGAAAGTCCATGAGACTCTTATCCCCATTTAACCACCAAAGAGCTGGAAATGGAGCTGTGGCTCAAGAGCACCAGCCTTGAGTAAAAAAGCTAAGGCTAGAGTTCAAGCCCCAGTATTGGCACACACACACACACACACACACACACACACACACACACACACACACACACACACACACACACACACACACACACGATGGTTCCTGGCTCCAAGATCTCTGCAAAAGGTCCCCCTTCCCTCTCTTCTCTCTTGAATCCTAGATTTGGGATTGTAATCTTAGGTTCCTAGGGCTGGCAAGAAATGACATGGATGAAGAGAACTTGGTGATGGGCCATTCTAGGAGCACAGGTCAGGTGGGATGGGGACAGGTGCCTTGGGAGCTGGCCCATTACAGCTATGTGGTAAATAAAACCAGGCCTGCCACATCTTCTGTTTCACTACAGAAGGCTAGGAACCAAGGCTTTTAGGTGAACTTTCCATTTTAAAAACGTTGATGAATAACTCAAGTTAAGAAAACATCAACAGGGGCTGGGAAGGTGGCTCAGTGGTAGAGCACTTGCCTTGCATGCATGAGGCCCTGGGTTTGATTCCTCAGCACCACATAAGCAAAAAGAAAAAAGCCGGAAGTGGCACTGTGGCTCAAGTGGTAGAACACTAGCCTTGAGCTGAAGAGCTGAGGAACAGCACCCAGGCCCAGAGTTCAGGCCCCGTGACTGGACCCCCCCCCCAAAAAAAATACAAAAAAAGAAAACATCAACAGGCTGGGCACTGGTGGCTCATGCCTGTAAGCCTAGCTACTCAGGAGGCTGAGATCTGAGGATCACAGTTCAAAGCCAGCCCAGACAGGAAAGTCCATGAGACTCTTATCTCTAATTAATCACCAGAAAACCAGAAGTGGCGCTGTGGCTCAAGTGGTAGAGCACTTGCCTTGAGCTGAAGAGCTGAGGGACAGCGCCCAGGCCCAGAATTCAAGACCCACAACCAAAAAAAAAAAAAAATCAACAGGTCTGGGAGCGGTCAGACAAAATGGATCAGTGGCCCAGATGTGGCCTCCTCCAGTGGTTTACAATCTCTAATTTGGAGTGATCCTCCACATGAAGTGTGATCTGGATTTGCTCCCTAAAGGGCTTGCTGGCAAAGGCCAAGCTGGGGTTTATATCCTCTGCAGAGTCTAACCAGGGACAATTGGGAAGGTGGACCAGAGTAGAGGCAGGTGATCTGATATAAATTGCTTGGCCAGATTTCTATTGGAATAGGCCACCTATCCCTGTCTCATTTTGGCTTCCTTCTCAACATCCTTCCCACCCTCCTCTGTAGGATCAAGCAGCCCACCCTGAAACTCCATGGAAACAAAGACTCCATCTGCAAGCCCTGTCACATGGCCCAGCTTGCTTCAGTTTGTGGCTCCGATGGCCATACTTACAGCTCGGTGGTAAGGAGCCTTTGGCCCCAGGGCGGGTGGAGGATGTGTCTGCGGACAGAGGCAACAGAAGAATGCTTCAGCTGGGGTTTCCCAAGAAGTCCCTGTCCCCCATCATACCTATACAATACAAACCAAACAGTCTAATCAGTACATTCAGTGCAGTGCATAGGAAGGACTTCTGTAGCCCTGGCTGGGTTGACCTGATGGAGCCCTTGACCTTGGGCAGGTCCAGGTTGGGGGAGGGACTGGGAAGAATCATGTGGTAACTGGAGTAGAGTGAGGCAGCGGCTTCAGGAAAATACCACATATGAGTCCACTGGAAGGAAGGAGTTCTACTTGCTAGCTGCCTAGGGCAGGTAAGTTCCACACAGAGGCATGGTGTTCACCAGCCAGCAGGGGGTGCTCTGGACAAGAGGGCATAATCCCTCATGATTGCGGGGGGATGGGACTGGACAGATTCCCATTTTATAAGGGTTTTGTGAGGATGAAATGAAATGTTTTTGTGAAAGCATTTCATAGATTTTAGAAAAGCACAGAAATACAGATGAGGTTAGGAATGCTTCTGTTAGCAACTAGAGGTTGGGACTTCATGTTGTTTGGTGACACTGACTCTTGGGCCAGCAAGGGTTGGGTTTAGGGGAAGAGAAGCCCTTTTGGGGTGAGGTGCAGATGTATGAGTCACCAGCTGTGGTGTGGATTGAAGCTCCTGAGGAAATCAGGGGAGAGAGGAGGAAGGAGCAAGAGGCCAAGGGCAGAGGGTGCTTAGCAAGGGAGGCTGGAAGGCTATGGAGGAGTTGATAGAGGAGGAAGGGGGAGGAGAGTTCATGTACTACAACTGGAGGGCCTAGCAGGGTGAGGGCAGGAAGCTGTCCATCAAGGTCATTCCATGCAGGAGGCAAAAGTTTTCAATAGGTCTGGCTTCCACCCCAGGCCCATGGCCCTGGGCCCAGCACTCGGCCTCCCCGATCTTCTCTGCTGAGTATGAGAAACAAGACAAACACAATCCTCCCTCACAGAGCTGTTGGAGACGGAGGAGATAGCATTGTAAAATTCTACTATGACCCACTTGGCTGTAGGGTCACCTCAGACAGCAGATAGAATCAGTGATGTCACTTTACCAGCAAAGAATGACAGCCTCTCTTGGAAACTGGCTACAACCCATGTGGGACAGAGACTTAGAAAGACCAAGGGAAGCTGGGCACTGGTGGCTTACCTCTGTAATCCTAGCTACTGAGGAGGTCGAGATATAAGGATTCAAAGCCACCTCAGGCAGGAAAGCCTGTGAGACTGTATATATATATATATATATATATATATACACACACACACACATATATATGTATATATATATAAAAAGATACTGTACAGAGGGTAAGGTAATGAGTACATTTCCTATCAAGCATTGCTACCCCCTCCTTTGTTTTTTCCCTACTATCCCTTCTCTCCCCACCACCCCAACTCCTGCTTGCTACCCCCCTAGTTGTAAAGTTCATTTTCAACATAGTGTCTTGTACATCTCATTGTTACAGTGAGTCAACCTGTATCCTTGTTTCCTGTGAGACTCTTATATCCAATTAACTACCAGAAAACTGGAAGTGGCTCTGTGGCTCAAAGTGGCAGAGCACTAGTCTTGAGCAAAAGAGCTCAGGGGCAGCACCCAGGCCTTGGCTTCAAGCTCCACAACTGACAAAAAAAAAAAAAAAAGGCAAACAAAGTCCAGGAGGATGGTTGGCAAGAGAATTCTGGGAAAAGCCCACTGGAAGTAGCTATAGGCAATGAAAGATGGGCCCATGACCCTTCAGGGGTTAAGGGACTGTGACAAGGAGTAGGATAAGCTGTAAGAGCCAAAACAGGGGAGTTGGGGTGAGATGGGCAGAGGCTGGTGCAGAGTGGGGCTAGAGCTGCTCCTGCCACCCCCTTCCTGGGCCTGTTGCCCCTTACCACTGGGCACCCCTGGTCAGCAGAGGGGACAGGAAGGCCCTTCCAGGCCATTCACTGAGAAGGCAGATATGCCAGCTGTGGTGGGAGGTCTGAGGGAGGTCTTAGGTACAGGATCCATGGTGACCCTCCACATCACCCAGCCTGCCTTTTCTTGTGCAGTGTAAGCTGGAGCAGCAGGCATGCCTGAGCAGCAAACAGCTGGCAGTGAGGTGCGAAGGCCCCTGCCCCTGCCCCACAGAGCAGACGGCCACCTCCACCACCGACGGCAAGCCAGGTAACCAGCGTGGATGACAGACACTGCCAGGGCTGCTGGGCACCTCCTTCAGGGCTTGCACTAAGGGAAGGGCAACGGAGCAACAACTGGAAAGGCTTGGGGAGTCCTGTGGGCTCAGGGGCCCTGGTTAACATGGAGCAGGAGTGTGGGGCCTCATGCCCGTTTTTCATCTCTGCCACTCAGAGCCAGAGCCTGGCTGTGCTTTCAGTACTAAGAAGTGAGTGGGAGGAAGAAGCTGGGAGAGGCTGGGCGAGGAAGCCCCTGATTCCCTGCTTCCCTCCCCTGCAGCCTCCTGAGCCTGCCACTTCACCCTACGTTCAACCCGAACCCCCTTTCTCTGTTCCTCCCACTGCAGAGACTTGCACAGGTCAGGACCTGGCCGACCTAGGGGACCGGCTGCGGGATTGGTTCCAGCTCCTTCATGAGAATTCCAAGCAGAATGGTTCAGCCAGCGGTGCTGCCAGCCCCACTGGTAACAGAACGGGTGCCCTACCTGTGGGGAGGAAGAGAGGGGGAGAGGGGACAACCTATTTCTCTCTCTGCCATACTCTGAGTCTGTGAAGTGAGCCCCAGAAATGCTTAACTCCTCAAGGAGAGGTCAGTTCTAGCCACAACAGAAAGTGAATAGGGAGCTGACAGGAAGAGGTTTTTGTTGTTGTTGTTGTTGTTGTTTTTTTGCCAGTCCTGGGGCTTGAACTCAGGGCCTGAGACTGTCCCTGAACATCTTTGTGCTCAAGGCTTTGAGCCACAGCACCACTTCCAGCTTTTTCTGAGTATTTTATTGGAGATAAAAGCCTCATGAACTTTCCTGCCTGGGCAGGAACTGGCTTTGAACTGGGATCCTTAGATCTCATCTTCCTGAGTAGTTAGGATTATAGGTGTGAGCCACCGGCTCCCAGCTAAAAACAACTTCTTAACCTGGATGAGGGAAGCTCTGCCAGTCCTCAGCTATGTGGCGGAGAGCAAGTAAAGCATTGCAGATGTGGTATAGTGGCAGAGCACTCGCCTAGCATGCATGAGGCCCTGAGTTTGAATCCGAGCACTGAAGGATTCTGATGAGCTTTGAAAACCAGATTGATTAATTCATTCATTGATTGATTTTATGATGCTGACAGGAACTTGAACTGAGGCCTTGTACTCTCCTTTAGCCTTTTTTCTCTACCACTTGAACCACTCCTGGATTTCTAGTTTGGTTTTTGCTGACTAATTGGAGATAAGAGTCAGATTTGTCTGCCTGGGCTAGCTTTGAACCTGGATCCTCAGATCTCGTCCTCCTGATTAGGATTACGGACGTGAGCCAGACAATAGTGCCTGGTTCAAAACAAGGTTTTGAGTGGTTTAATCACTTAAAATAACTGTTGTAGGAGAGTGAAGGGTTTGGGCCCATTCTTGAATTTCTCATCCCTCAAGTTTAGATTCTGGGCCACTCTGACCCTGAACAGAGAGAGGGCTAGGGCTGAGAAAGAGGATGAGCAGGAAGGTTGGTAGGACAGATGATAGAATGTTTCTGAACCTGATCTTCTTCCAGGGCTGGACAAGAGTCTGGGGGCTAGCTGCAAGGACTCCATTGGCTGGATGTTCTCTAAGCTGGACACCAGTGCTGACCTCTTCCTGGACCAGATGGAGCTAGCTGCCATCAACTTGGACAAGTACGAAGTCTGCATCCGCCCCTTCTTCAACTCCTGTGACACCTACAAGGACGGCCGAGTCTCCACTGCTGAGTGGTGCTTCTGCTTCTGGAGGGAGAGTGAGTATGTCCCTGGCCTCTGGCCAGGCTCCCGCAGCTACAGGCTCCAGGGAAGCCAGCACTTACTTACCTGCTCCAAGGTAGATCTGGGCTGTGTGGGCTCTGAGCTAAGGCACTCTTGGAGGCCTTCCTAAAACATTCCATCTCTCTGTAAGGCAGTCCTCCTGCACAGGTAGCTGGGAGCCTCCGTCCTTTAGCCTCCAATCTAGAGGTGCCAGGAGCTTCCCAAGGTTTGCAGATGAGCTAGAGGTTGGCCTGCCGTTGTTTGCAGGCCTGTAAGCTCAGGCTAACGTTCCCTCTAGCCTTACATTCCCTTGGGATTTTAGCACTGGATACCCACATGGTCTCCCACTTCCTCTTTGGCATCCAAATGACTTATCCTGTGAATCCAATACCCCCGAGACCCACAGCCGCAATGGCTTCCCCAATTAGAGACTGGATGTTTCATCTTACGTAACTTCATTATGGGCAGTGGGGACCTTAGAGGGACCACTTCCACCCTAGGGTGGCCCCAGAGTATTTTATCTTGCATAGCCCCTGCCAAGGCTCTCAGCCTCGGGAGGCTTGATGTCTGTCAGCCCTCAGAGGCTCCTCTCTCCCCACAGAGCCCCCCTGCCTGGTGGAGCTGGAACGCATCCAGATCCAAGAGGCTGCCAAGAAGAAGCCAGGTGAGAGGGGTGTTGTGCAGAGGGGAAGGCCGTGGGGCTTTGCTGAGTATCCCTGAGCTCCAGAGAGGCAAGATGCAGCCCAGGGGAGGCCCTAGTCCAGGATGACTGAGGAAAATAGTTGTGGTTTGAGAGTCTCTAAATCTGCCCCTCAGTAAGTGTTTCAAGCATTCACTTTATGGATATCCAGCTGAGGGAGGTTGGGGTGCAGAAAGAGCTAAGAGCTGTCCATTCAGTTCAGTTCAGCAGAAGTGAGTCTAAGTGAGGCTCCCCTCCTTGGGGGATACTCACCAGATTCTAAACAAATACCCCCAAATTCTGCAGAGAAACAAAACAAGCCCACCCCGGAAACACTCAAAATATAAATTGGCACACCCAAAAAATGGAACTATCAACAAAGACTGAGCATGGATGCTGAGGGAGAATGCAGGTGGACGGAAGTTGGCCTAAGGGGTCAATAGAGTTTTCCTGGGGAGCTGGTGTCCAGAGGAGACTTGAGGAAGGAGAATGAAGCAGACAAGTGCAGAGTCAAGGGCAGGGAAAAGCTTGAGGTTCTCAGAAGCAGCTGGAGTGGGACCGTTAAGAAGACAGAATTCTGAGAGGCAGGTCACATGGGGCCTTGTAGCTTTTTGAGAGTGGCTCACATCTGGCTGGTAGATAATGCCAGAAACTTGAAAGCCAACATGGGAAGAAGCTGTAGGCCCAGTGGCTTCTGGGGGGGGGGGGGGGATGTGAAGCACTCCTCAGGTTCCCCACCCATACTACTTCCTCCCCAGCCCATCTCTCTGTAGGTAGCTGATAGGCAGACAGGAGAGGAACAGTGAGTAGGTCCTGAAGACCATTCTGCATCTGATTCACAAGGACTGAGAAGGGAAGGCCAGAACAGCCAGGCCAATAGAGAGAGCCAGGTCCTGGTGGCTCACACCTGTAATCCTAGCTTCTCAGGAGGCTGAGATCTGAAGATCGCAGTTCAAAGCCAGCCCGGGCAATAAAGTCCATGAGACTTATCTCCAATTAACCATCAGAAAACCAGAGTGGTACTGTGGCTCAAGTGGTAGAGCACTCGCCTTGAGCTCAGGGACATTACCCAGGCCCAGAGTTCAAGCCATACAACCAACAAAACAAAACAAACAACAAAAAAGAGAGAGAGAGAGAGAGAGAGAGTGGGTGGTCGAGTCTGAGCAGGTTGTTTAAGGCAGTAGGTTTCTTTATCTCTCTCTCTCTCTCTCTCTCTCTCTCTCTCTCTCTCTCTCTCTCTGTCTCTCTCTTTGTCAGTCATGGGGTCTGAACTCTGAGTCTGGGTGCTGTCCCTCAGCTCTTCAGCTCAAAGCTAGCTCTCTACCACTTAAGCCACTGTGCCACTTCCGGCTTTTTCTGCTTATGTGGTGCTGAGGAGTCAAACCCAGGGCCTCATGCATGCGAGGCAAGCACTCTACCACTGAGCCACCTTCCCTGCCCTGGGTTTATGGTTGATCAATACCAGGCTGGCTGTTCACACTCAAGGCTCTGGGGTTCTGGCTCTGACCTGGAGGGGTCCTGTCCCATTCAGGCATCTTCATCCCAAGCTGTGATGAGGATGGCTACTACCGCAAGATGCAATGTGACCAGAGCAGTGGTGATTGCTGGTGTGTGGATCAGCTGGGGCTGGAGCTGACCGGCACACGCACCCATGGAAACCCTGACTGTGGTAAGTTCTGGGTGGACAGGCCTCCTGAGGACCTGTGCCTGCAAGGGGTGTGAGGGAGAGAAGGCCAGTCAGATCCTTACCGGTCCTTGCTTTGTCCCTCACAGATGACGTCGTGGGTTTCTCAGGGGACTTTGGGAGTGGCGTCGGCTGGGAGGATGAGGAGGAGAAGGAGACAGAGGAGGCTGGTGAGGAGGCCGAGGAGGAAGAGGGCGAGGTGGGCGAGGCGGACGATGGAGGCTACATTTGGTAGATGGCCTTCCTGAAGCCATGGCAAGCCAGGGTGCCAACGGCCAGGGAAACAGGCCAGCAGAAACCTAGACGGCAGCAGGCAGCTTAGCAAATGGATCCGGAAATTAGTGGGAAGGACTTTGGCTCCAGTGGGGCCAACTGGATGTGTGAGTGCATGGCTCATGTGTAGCATGTATGGCTAGGATGGATGTGTGTGTGTGTGTGTGTGTGTGTGTGTGTGTGTGTGTGTGATGTGCTGACAGACATGTCCTTGATCCACAGTGCCCCTGGCAGAGTACACACACAAAGCCCCCTCAATCCCCTTCTAGTTCTTTCCTTTGCACTTGATGTTGGTTTTAAAATATGCACACATACACACACACACACACACAAAACACATGCATGCACGCATATGTACACACACAGTTCCACAGCTCCACTCTTAATACCCTGGGGGCTTCCTGCCTCAACCAGTCCTGCCTCCTCCCTCCTCTGCCTGTCCTTTTCCCTCCTGCTTCTGTAAAGGTCAAAGGTTGAGGAGGGAGGCAGGAATTTGCCTATTCCTGGAGCTCTTCTCAAAGTTGGGCCTATTTGGTGTGACCCCACCCCCCAAGTCAGGTGAGAATCAGGACACTGGCCACAGCAGGCCTGCCCCTGTGCTGATTTCCCAAGAACCATAAACAAAACAAAACAAAACTCCTAAGCCAAGCCAGCAAGACCAAAGGTGGCCAAGGGGAAGCTCACAGAAACGGGGGTCTCTGTGAGGACCTTACCAAGCTGTCCAAGTTTTTTCCCCTTTTCAGATCCAGTTTCTGGGGTTCCCCCCATGTTCACTCTGGGGAACCTGAGGACCAGGAGCAGTAGGTACATGCCCATCACCCACCTGGCCCCCTAACTAAATGTCCCCCTTCCTGCCCAGGCCAGTCCCAAAACCCTATAAAAGGAAACAAACTGTCAGGGGTGCCATAGTCCATCCCCCATCCCTGGGGCTCACTTTGTCCCTGAGCACCCCAAGGGCTACCCTAGGAGAACAACTTTCCTAAAATCCTGTAGTGTGCAAGAGAAGTCAAGAGTCCATCAGAGGGGACAAAATGGGGAGAGGTGGGTCTTGTGGTCACACCTCACTGTGACCCCAAACCTCCTGACCAGGTACGAGGTCATCTTACCCAGATATCAAGATGCCCTGTGGCTTTGGTTGTGTATTTGTTGTTTTTCCAGCTCTCCTCCCTCTTCCCTTAATGAAGAATTTCTCACCTGGACTTGGACCTTTGATGCCCTTTGGTGCATGGAGAATGTGTGTGTGTGTGTGTATGTGTGTGTGTGTGTGTGTATGTGTGTGTGTGTGTGTGTGTGTGTGCGCGTGTGAGTGCGTGTGTGCATGTGCGTGCACACGCATGCACTGCGTATGCCTGGGAGTGCAAGGAGGGCCCCCTGTGTGCTGGGAGGAAAGTGGGGTCCATGTGGTGAGGCTCCCTGGGCAAGGCCCCCAGCCTGGCTCTCCCCAGCGTCTCCTGCATCTGCTGAGTTGAGTGAGCATCCATTGGATGTTAGGAAAGAGCCCCCACCCTGACCACCCTGGAATCAATGTCTCCTGAACCTACTCTTGGGGGAAATAGCAAAACTCCACTTTGTCCCCTAAAGCGCTTCTCATCTGCAGCACGGTTCTGACTGTCGAAGTTTTGCTCTTCTCGCCCCCCTTGCCCCCGTGCACTCCCCCTCCCCTCTGTTCCTGCCTCTGTCCCCCACCACATCCTCTGGTCCTCTGTTCTCCAGCAGTAGTTTCTCTCCTAACTGGAGCTACTTGAAACTTCCTACTTCTAGGATCAAAGTCAGTCTCTTCCTCTCCCAGCTGAATTTCCAGAACTGTCTTCATGGGGGCTGTGAAGGAGGCCAGGCTCTCTGAGATAGGTGGGGGGCACAGAGGAAGAGAACTCCTTCCCCCTCTCACTTCTGCCCTCCTCCTCCCATTCTGCCCTCCCCACCTGAGGGGGGAGGGCTGTGCTCTCTGTGTTTCTGGGTATTCTGGTTGTGCACGTTTTTCTGACTTTGTAAATATGTTTTAGGAAGAAAGCAAACCGCCAAGTTGAATTAGCCCCCCTGGGTTTGCAGAGGTCCAGGCTTCCCCTGTCTCTGAAGCCCATGTACTGCTTTTGCCCCACTGAGACAGAGCCCCCACCCCCACTAAGGCGGACAAAAGCAGCTGTTCCTAATGGGGCAGGAGCCTCCATCATACTTTTTGTTAGATGAGCTAAATGAGCATAAGGTTTCTTCGGGACAAAGTCACAGATTGTCTTATCTCAATACTATGGATTTGTCCTTGACCTTAGCTGCTGGCCCAGCCCCTCGTAGGCCCTCTCCACAGGTATCTTTGCCCCTTCCTGCCCAGTGCCCTGGCTTAGGCAGACAGGGGAACTGGGGCTTTGTTGATAAGAACTCAACCAAATCACAACAAACCCACATCTTGCCAAACCCTGGAGCTGCCCTTGGCTGCCCCAGGCCTCCTTGGCTCCATGGGTGCTGGGAGAGATGGATGGGCTAGGTTGGATTGGAGAAAATTATTGCACCTAGAGAGACCACTCAGAGGGTTGGGGGGGGGGGTGTGATGGAGAAGGGGCGTGGCCTGGGGAGCTCTGGAAAGAGGGTCTGCGACATCAACTGCCCCCTAATTGGCCTGATGGGGCTGTGCAAACATGTTGGCACATCCTTCCTCACTGGTGCCTCCTGATTTTAGTGGGCAAGCTCCCCATTGGGTCTTTCATAAATGATCTCCATCACATCCAACTTCACTGAGTAGATGGGTGGGGTCCACCGGTACAAACGCAAGTACCCTCGTTTCTCCAAAGCCTGACCCTGAACCCCTTGTAGAGAACAAATGGCTGGAGATGGTAGGGCTGGAGGGGGTCCCATGAAAGAGGCTGGGGGTACAGAAGAAAACTGGACATATCCCAAGGAAGCCCACACAGAGCACACTGCTTTGTCCCCACGGCCCAAAGTGTGTGATGCGCAGTAACTGAGCTTTAGATTTAAGAATTGTGTTCAAGTGCTTGGATTCCCGTCTGTAGTTTTAAGTGCTGAAATTGTATCTCTCAGTCATTTTAGATGTCGTTTAAAAAAATCAAAAAACAAAGTGTTAGACCTGTGTGTGCATTGATGGGCACTCAAACGTCCCTTGGATCCCCCCACCCTCCTTCCCTCCCTCCCATGCCCCACCCTCTCATGCCCCCACATCCCCCCACTTCCCCCACCCTGCTTCCCCTTGGGGACCCTGCCTCGTCTTGTCTTTATCTGCCTATTACTCAGCCTAAAGAAACAAGTACACTCTACACCTGCATAAAGGAAATCAAATGTTATTTTTAAGAAAATGGAAAATAAAAACTTTATAAACACTACCTGCTGGCAAACCTCTGATTCTTCTTTCTCTTGGTGTTTTCATGGAAATGACATTTACAAAGGAATCCTGGGGACTACACCCTCAAGGACAGCTCATTTCTCTTCTTCAGTGTCATATTTGAGATCCTAGGCTTGGCTGGGAGGAGGGGCCAGATTCACCCAGGATGGACCAGGAATTTGAAAATATGTTTGATATTATTGCCCCCCACACACAATTCTACAACACTGATGCACTCCAATGAATTCAATCATGTCCTATTTCTATAAAAATTTATAGTGTTAGCCAGGTGCTGATGGCTCATGCCTGTAATCCTAGCTATTCAGGAGGCTGAGATCAGAGAATTGTGGTTCAAAGCCAGCCTGGGCATGAAAGTCCCTGAGACTCTTAGCTCCAATAGACCGCTCAGAAAACCAGAAATCGCTGTGGCTCAAGTAGGTAGAGCACTTGCCTTGAGCTGAAGAGCTGAGCCCAGGCCCAGAGTTCAAGCCCCACAACCAACAAAAACAAAGAAACAAACAAAAATTGTAGTGTTTCCAAATTCTTGATATAAATAGTGCTGTAACTGGCTACCAGTAGTTCATGCCTGTAATCTTAACTACTTAAGAGGCTGAAATCTGAACACTGTCATTTGAAGCTCACCAGGACAAGCAATGCTGTGAGACCCTATTTTGAATTAACCAGCAAAAATCTGGAGTGAAGATGTGGCTCAAGTGGTAGAGTACCATCCTTGAGTGAAACAGCTAAGCAGGAGCTTGAGGCCCTGATTTCAAGCCCCAGGCACCCCCACCATCCCTTTAAATCCCACAATCTATATAGCTAATGTTAAATAAGGGTTAAAAGAGGCTGCAGAATTTCATGGGCTATGCTGGAGGCAGGCAGAGAGCTGATGTGGAAGCAGGGGAAGTTTCCATAGGGGACTAGATAAGTTCTGCAGCAGAGCAGGTGCAGAAGAGCTGTTGGAAGTACAGAATTCAATGCAGGATCAGGGAGCAGCCATTCCCAGTGTCAGTGGAAGTGAAGTGGGAATGTGTCACAAGCGGCAGACGCTGCACTGGAGCTGGGTCTGGGAACAGAGGCACAGGTCTGAAGAGATCTCCAGATGAAGCCAGGGCACAGCCGGATGTGTGTGACCCGGGTGGGTTAAACAGAAGTTGGGAGAGTCACATTGATAAGGAACAGGCTGTGCAGACCAGGGCAGGACTGAGCCTGGGAGAAGGGAGACATGGCCCTCACATCCAGGCTGGCAACTCCTGCCATTGTTAGGTGTGTGGGTGGGGGGAAAGGGGTTCTGCTTTGCCATATCCTCCAGCATCTTGTCACTCACCAGGCTAGGTGTGGCCTGCTGGCTGCACATGGTTTTCTCGCTACCTGGAAGGAGACTGCAGTCTGCAATGGGTGCCCATCCACCCGTGGGATCCCTCTGTACCAGGACCCCCAGTGCTCAAGAAATTTGGCTTTGGCATGAAGCAGATCAACATTGGTTTGGATGAAGGAGAACCAAAGTCAGGCAGTGCCCTGGCTTCTGGACAGCACACCCATTGTCACCATGTCCCAGCAGCTTGATTTCCCAGTGTCCCTTGGGCCAGCAGCGAACAGCATGTTGCTGGGGACCAGCCAAATGATAACAGACAAGGCTGCGGCCATTTGGGAAGCCATCTGTGGGGACCCAGCTGTACAAGGCACCTTCCTGACATGGTCCCTCTTCAGCCAGCTTCCCACCTCAACATCCCCCCTCCCCCCCTGAAGCACCTTGCTTTTTTTCTAGTATTTATCCTTCTGGGGACAGAGACTATAGCTTGACCCATCTTAGGTGCATATCAGAGATTCAAGATCCAAGTTAACAATGAATGTACAAATCCTCATAGTAGTCTTCCCTGCCACCTACCACCAGAGCCCAGCACTCAAGTCTGGGCTCCACACAACCTTGAGGACCCCAAGAAGGGTGTGCTTGATCAATCTGAACAAACCCCTAACTGTGAGATAGAACATTTCATGGACTTGTGATCATCCTTGTGCAGGCCAGACGTTAATCTCTGCACCCTGTGTTAAGTCTGTGCTATACCAGTGATCATACTTTCTTCTTCCTTCCTTTCTCTCTCTCTTTTCTTTCTTTCTTTTTTCTTGCTTGCTTTCTTGCTTTCTCTCTCTTCTTTCCTTCCTTCCTTCCTTTTTCTTTCTTTCTTTTTCTTTCCTTCTTTTTCTATCTTTCTGTCCTTTTTACATTTTGAGCCTCACAGAGGAGGGAAAGGAAAGAAAATGCATGCTTATGGGCTGAGTCTATAGCTCAGTTGTAAAGTACTTGCCTAGCTTGTGCAAGTCTCAGGTTCAATCCCCAGCACCTCAGCACATGTCTCCATGATCCCTCCAACATCCTGTGTCCTCTGCTCAGCTTTAGGCAGCAGGTGTTGCCAGCCAGCCCTGTTCATGGGTAAGACAATGACTTCACTAAGGGGTGAGCTTGATTCTTGGCACTGTATGCATGGAACATCACTGTTGCTCCTGAGAAGTGGCTCTCGAGAAGGAGACTGTTCTCTCCTCACCTCCTGCCTCTTCACACTGGCTAGATTGAAGACGTGGTAAGCTTTTTAATCTGGGCACCTTGTGGCTCAATCAAGTTGGATCATGAAATTATCCAGCGTATTCCAGCACCCAGGCTAGCTTCTGCCTCTAGTCAGGTCAAAAACAGTTAAACACTGCTGGGTGAATGAATTTCAGCTCAGCCCTGCTCCTGTCACTAGGCAATGGAAGCTGTGAGTTGGTCTTCTTGCTCCTTCCTATCTAGTGCAGTCGGTCTGTCTTTGCCATGATTGCTATGACACCAGGATCATAGCATAAAATAACATAAAATAACAATTTACTGCTCCCCAGAGGTTTAATAATCAGTAGGCCTGCTGGGCACTGGTGGCTCACACCTATAATCCTAGCTAATCAGGAGGCTGAGATCTAAGGATCACAGCTCAAAGCCTTCCCAGGCAGGGAAGTCCATGGGACGATTATCTCCAATTAACCACCAGAAAACCAGAAGTAGAACTGTGACTCAAGTGGTTGAGTACTAGACTTGAGCAAAAGAGCTTAGGGACAGGCCTTAGGCCCTGAGTTCAATCCCTATGACTGAAATATACATACATATATATATATATATAATTTAAAAGCCTGCTGATTCACTCCCCCCACCCCCACTGCCCAGCTTCCTCACTAGCCTCATCTTTGTCCTCATTCCCATTTTGTTCCTCAAAGGCTTTACATAGGCTATACTCCTTGCTTGAAAATAGTCAACATTTCCTTTCTTTATTTGGTGAACTCCTACATATCCTTCAATACCCTAGCTCAAGTATCATGTCTCTCCTCAGGCAGAGAGGACCAATCTGTTTCCATTCCTCTCCGGCCTTGCACAGGCCTCTTTCTGTTCTGACTTAGAACCACTGAGCACAAAAGTTCAGGGACAGCACCCAGACTCTGAATTCAAGCCCTAGGACTGGCACAGAAAAATCAAATCTGTGATTCCCTCCTCTCCTAGAGCTGCTATCATCATTAGAGATTTGTAAACAATCACAAAAAAATCAGCATTTCATGAGTTCCTGAAAACGTTACATTTAAACAAAGCTTGGTAATTTTGCCTATTTGGTATATTCATTCAAGTGTATGGATACTTAGGCAAATTTGCTTATTTTCTTATTCTTGAATTCCTACCTTATATTTCAAAAAGAGCTTTAAATCAAATGTCTCTTCTTGAGAATATGTGGGACCAACATGTCACAGAGAAGTTGTTTATTGCTGTTGTTGATGATGATGTGCTGATACTAGGCTTGAACTTAGGGCCTGGGCACTGTCCCCTAGCTTTTTTCTGCTCTACTAGTTGAGCCACACATCCATCCACTTCTGGGGTTTTGCTAGTTAATCAGACATAAGGATCTCATGGGCTTTTCTGCCTGGACTGGCTTTAAACCATGATCCTCATATCTCAGCCTCCTGATTACAGGTGTGAATTATCAGTGCTTGGTCATCAAAGAGGTTTGTTGTTGTTGTTTGTTTGTTTGTTTTGCCAGTCCCAGGGCTTGAATTCAGGTCCTGGGCACTGTCCCTGAGCTTGCGCTCAAGGATAGAACTCTACCACTTGAGACACGGTGCCACTTCTGGCTTTTGTGGTACTAAGGAATCGAACCCAGGGCCTCATGCATGCTAGGCAACAACTCTACCACTTAGCCACATTCCCAGCCCATCAAGGAGTTTTTGATTTGTTTTCTTCTCTGTACCATCTGCATTTGACTTGGATTCACTCTCCTGTATTTCCAGCTTCACCCTGAAGTGCACCCAATGGCTCACCAGGAAGCCCACAGGGGTGAACTCATATGAGCAAGAAGCAGGTCCACTAGCTTGGAGGAGGACCACTCTCTGTCTCTAAGGCTTCCTGCTTGGCAAGGTGCTGGGGTTTAGAGGCACATAACCAGCCAGGACCCACTGTTGCAAGTGACAGAAACCTAGCTCAGATGGGCTTAGATGGAGAGGCATTTATTGACTCTTAAAGAAAAGAGGCTATGGGGTTGCTCTCAGAACTGAAAGAAGAAATCTTGGTGTCTACCTTATGGATCTGATGGTAAGGCCAGTTATGCAGGACTTGCCCATTCAGGCCACCTCTTACCTCTACTTCCCTCTGCTTTTCTACCTCATTCCTTTTTATCCCAGTGGGCCTCTCTGGCAGCAGCTAGAGTTACCAGCAGAAGGTGCTACTGTATTGAGTCCATCTGGAAAGGTCTCTGACTGGGTCCTTTTTGCAGCCCTGTGGATGAGATGCTGATTGCTCAGGCCTGGATTTTGTTCCCATCCTTGCAGCCTAGGGGAAGAGACCTGGGGGAAGCTTTTTTTTTTTTTTTTTTTTTTTTTTTTTTGTGGGGCTTGAACTCAGGGCCTGGGCTTGAGTTTCTTGTGCTCAAGGCTAGCGCTCTACCATTTGAGCTACAGTGCCATTTCTGGTTTTTGAGTGGTTTATTGTAAATAAGA